TTATTATTGTTATTATTATTGTTATTATTATTATTATTGTCATTGTTTTTGTTGTTATTTATAGGCTTTATTTGAAAATCCATTTTGGGAAGCTTACACAAATGCCTTTGCCTGCATGACTAGTTTCAATAAGAATAAGAAAAAAGTCTAAAAGCAGAACACAATAAATGCATGAAAAAAATCAGATCAGTGTTACTGATGTGTGAAACTGAAGTTTATGTGGTTGTGTGTTTGTGCAGCTTGTCGGCTAAATGTTGTTCTGAAGAAGTTGTGGGGGTGGAGGGCAACAGTGTACAGGAAATGGTTTAGCCACCTTGGCCTGTGCTTGCTTATCAGCAGAACACAGGAGCAACAGAGACTTTACCAGCGCCGGACACGGCAGCTCCAACTTATCGCCGCGCTGTGTTTTGCAACTCACCACCACTAGTGATTTATTCAAACACGGATATCACAGATAGGCCCGTTCAAATCCCAGCACATTACTGCACGACCCAGACGGGTCCTGTTTGCTTTGCAACTACAAACCAGACACACACACACACACATACAAATGCATACACAACCCTGTGCAGTATGACATCACCAGAAAAAAGCCTTGTAAACCTGAAAGGGAGGTCGATAACAGCAGGTGAGAGGGCTTTGCTGTGTAATGATGATGCCTACCAGTGTCTAAGTTGTAAACCCTGTTATTGATTGTCTTCAGTTCAGCCAATAGTCCTCCTCGCAAACTACCATGCTTGAAAAGTCTGCAGTAATGTGTCTGCGCTGAATTCAATATCTGCTACTATTAATGAATCCTGACAAGCCGCTCAACCTTTGTATTTTTTTATTTAATGTAGTTAGTCCCACTGAGAGCAGGAATCGTGTTTCCGAGCGGGGCCTGGCCGAGACTGCACCGGCACATTTGGTTGTAGTAATTTACAGCAAATGCTGTGAAAATAAACACATTTTATATGAACCATGACAGAAGGCTGGGTGGTGGGAAATGACAGAGGCTAAGAAAGGGACAGTGTCGAAACAGCAACTGCTTCAGTGTTTTACCGCAGGGATGAAAATTAGCTGATCATACAAGATGAGAAACAGCAACTCGCTTCCTCACATTAAATTCAGGAAAGTTATCTACATTCGCTTTTGTGCCTAAATAAACCTCTCATCAGAAACATCACAAAGTAAAACAAGTGAGAGGAGATAGTGTACCAGCAGTGTACTGTATGTGTGTGTGGGTGTGGGTGTGTGTTCGTACATGCTTTGTCAGTGTTTCTTGGATAAATATAAAGTTAGTGTAACAGAGTGATTCAGCAGTGGCATTAGGATAGATGTGTACTTTTTGTATAATAAAAAAGCTAAATATACCCTAAAACAGGACAGTTCCAGTAAAGTCAGCTCTATGTCACCAGCTGACAAGAAATTTTCTTTAACTCCTCAAACAAGCTGCCTAAAGTAAAAATGTCACAAAGAATGCTCAAAAGTGGTTTTTCACAGCCAGTCATCTAAATCAGTGTTTCCCAAAGTTAGGGTCGGGACCCAAAGTGGGGTCCCGAAAAATCAAGGTGGGGTCCTGAAAAGATTTTCTGAATTAATTACATTTTTGCCTTTGTTGTTACAAAGTAGTGAGGTTAGTATATTTAAAATGGGTAAATGCAGTATAAAAATATTGTTACTATGCCCACGTTTTGTTGACCTGATACAAATGTTTGTCATCCAAAAATAGTTGGGGGCACAGGTCTCGGCTACTGTTTTGTACTATTTTGTGGGTCAAAAGCTGAAAAGTTTGGGAACCACTGCACTTTGGTTCCCAAAGTTGGGCTTGGGACCTAATTATGGGGTCATGAAGCACCTTGGATAATCTCCAGAAATCAATTTAAAGGGTAATAAAATAATTGCTGGTGTAATGTTTTCCCTATAATTATTACAAAAACACAAAATAAGTAAAAAATAAGTATTTATATTTGTGTATAAGCTGTTTGGATAGTCAAAAACCCTGTGATTTTAGGGTTATTAACGAAGTTCATGTACTCAGACCAGTAATATTTGGGGTCACAAGTTTTTGCCATGGATATTTTGTGGGTCAGAAGACAAAAAGTTTGGGAACCACTGATCTAAGTGATCAAACAGCTTATCTTAAACAGCTTAGCTTATAAAGGCACGCCATTACCAAACAAAATATCTTTACATGCAGCACAGGAAGTCAATGCTAAGCATGAATTAAAACCAAAATAGCACGATTAGACCTTAAGTTTTGTGACTCCATCAAATTATTTCACACTCAATAATGAGAGTTGAGGGCAAAATAATGTTTGCAGTTGTTAGTCAAGAACCACCAGTTGCAAAACCTTTTCTTACATTCCAGAAAATAAGCCAATAAATAAAAGTTCAAACTTTCTGTCCATCTTCTGTCAGAGACAGGAAGGGGAGTATAGGACGCGAGTCACAGAACAGTAGAGTGTCGGAACAAGCCAAGCATCAAGCATGAATGCCTCCTGCCACCTCTGGCTGTTTCGGCCCTCAAAGGCCCCTGCTTTAGCAGCGAGTGGTCACAATGAAATGGCTGTCTCACAAGCAGAGGTGGGTGGGAGCCGTGTCGCCATCTCCCATAGCAGAGGGGCTAGTCCCATCCACCCACTTCTGTTGTCATGCAAAGGCAGCGGCGCTCACTGGAACTGTACCCTCATTCACACATCAGCCTCAAACCCACGCTTGGCCACAGACAAATGTGGCCGCTGCATAAAAAAAGCCTCCTACTAATGTCAACACTTCCTCTCAAAGACAAAAAAAAGTAAAAAAACTGTGGGTTTTTTTTTTTTTCTTATTTAAAGAAATCAACTTTGC